AACTGGAAAGTCACTGCAGTTTAGAACCTTTTATCTTCGACAAGTGAAGACAACTTGGTGGAAAATCTGACACAATGTGACGGAAAATGCTGGTACTGCTTTTTTAATCAAAGTCCAAATGTCTGATGTTTCTTCGGGGGAGGGAATAGATCCGAGCAAAGCCAGATATTTATAAGGTGAAAAGTAAGTCTTCAATGTTGTCATTTATACTCTAATGCTCAAATCAAGAGCTCAAGTCTAGTGTTTCTCTTTATATTTATAGTGCTTCTCTCACGCCCACAAATAACTTTGCTCTCTCATTTATTCTAAAGATTTCAAACAATAAAATCAGTTTATATAATTGCGTATTCCAAGTGTTGTGTAGTATGATAAACATTTGATGAGAAGTTAACTACGGGGGAAAATACTTAACTATTAATTTAATAGATGCAAACAAGAGTCGAATTAAGATGCAATGGTATAATATGGTTATGAGTTTGTTGACTCAAAGTGTTTTTTGATGTGGTCGCAACTTGAAATAGAAACCAGCTCAGTGATTTGTGAGCTCTGAAGTCAACAAAGTTGCCAAATATAGTCGTCATTGACACTGAGTCACGTCACCTTACCACTAAGTGACGCTAGGGGCCATTCATATCTTACGTACGCAAAAAAAAAAAAAAAAGGTCAACTTTTGACCTCCCTCCTTCCCTCCCTCCCTCCGTATTACGCACGTATTTTTTTCGGAACCCCCCCCTCCCCCAAAATAAGTACAGAGAGGTTAATCCTCTTCACCNGTTCACAAAATATGCAACTCGTCACCATGAAGTCCCACATTGCTCTTGAGCAGGACTTTATAAGAAAGGGGATACTCATCCGGGGACTCATCCGGGGTGGGGGGGGAGTTCGCCAAAATGGTCGTAAAATTGGAACTTAACTCTGACTGAAACTACTAACACCCCATATGATTCACAAAAATAAGGTGCGCCGAAAATCGTATTTTTACTGCCCCGACGCGGGCGGAACTTTTTGTTCGGTAATGATTAAGGAACCCCATATTCAGGATCACCCCGTGCGCCTCTTTTCCTCTGCAAGGCCCCCCCCCCCGCCCTGAGTTCTCGTCGGGTTCCTCAAAAGGACACCGTGAAATGCTACATGTGACAACAGTAACTCACTTAAGTACCCATAGCCTTGTAGTTACCGGATGACGTTTAACGATGCACAAATATTTAATCTTACCCATCCCTTTATTATTTTATTATTATTTTTTTCTTTTTACTGTGCGGTATTCGCTATGTGTCCGGGTGCACTTGTAAGAATTTAAAACATTGGCGCCTGGCGTCAAAACCTAAATGTGTCAAGGGCGCCGGGAAATCGAAAAATTCTGAGAGCCAAATGACGGAGCAGAACAGAATACGTCACAGGTGGCCTACACGGGTGGACGCAGGGCAGGATTAAGCCATCTTGGAGCCCTATAAGGCACAAACCCACATGGCATGTGCCCCCTACTGCCCCGGGCCCCCGATCCTCAACTGACTGCTTGTTTGTTCAATATTATGCCAAAAACCTAACAAAGAAAAACAGTTGTGAAATGTAAACACATATGTTTGTACTACTATCACTCATATAAAACCTGCAATAAGGTATTTCTGTGTTAAAATTAATAGTTAATTTATTTTGTAATAATAGTAGACAAAAATACTTTAACTTTTTTGATAGATAAGAAAGTCAGAGAGAGCACACATTTACATTTACATTTTAAATTTCTGTTTTCTAGATTTACGTTTGGCAAAGTTTTTGATTTTGCGCAACAAGTCAGCCTCAATCATCAGCAACGATAAGGAATCAAGCCTTTCTTGTTTCACCGTCGATCTTCTAGGATTTTTTGCACGTTTCAACAGAGAAAAAGACTTGTGGGTGTCCTTAAAATGCTTGGCGCCCTAGGCACGTGCCTTGTTTGCCTAATGGTTAATCCAGCACTGGGAGGTCGGGTGGACTACATATCACGTTCAGAAGTGAGTAACCGTTATGCCTACTCCTGGAGCGATAAGCAGCGAGTTCGCTTTTGAAAAACATGGGGAGATAAGTATGACGATATGCCTACAATAATCTTTTTACAGAATCAGAGACATAAATAAATATGCGTTTTGAGTAGCAGAAAATTATTGCAGAAATTGTGAATGGATAGATTTGATTTTGATATTTATATCGCGCTTGGTATCCATGCCATTTTAGCATGCTCACTGCGCTCCGGTTTTCCGAAATCTATTTCAACACAAAGACGTTTTTAAACGCTTCTTAAATGATTTTTTATCATTTTCAATTCCCCTCAAATAATGAGGCAAACTGTTCCATAATTTTGGCGCTATCGCTTCAAAAGAGCGCACTCCGTAAGATTTTTGTTCAGTGTTTGTCCACACTAGGAACTCTCAGTAAGTACTGTGTTGAAGACCGCAGGCTCCCGGTACTATTAGTTCATTTGAAAAAAAAAAAAAAAGCAGTGTCTATACTACTTCAATTATTATAGCTGAACTCAGTGGTTCTCAACCTTCCTAATGCCGCTTCCCTTTAATACAGTTCATAATGTTGTGGTGACCCACCCCCCAACCATAAATTATTTTCGTTGCTACTTCATAAATAGCAACCCCCCCCCCTCCCCCCCTCCAAAGTTCGCGATCCACAGGCTGAGAACCGCTGGTTTAACGGTTCACCCTCTTTTTCTTTTTATGCGATACTGAAAAATATATTTCATATCAGTTATAGGGGTCCTGTAATTGTTGTTATAAGGAGGTCAATCACTACACTCTAATTGAATCAACCATCAAGACAAGAGTGTTTAATTCATAACCGACCAATTCAATCAATAATTAAAAACCACTAATTAAAATAGACTCATGACACACACAAACGAGGAAAAACATCAAATTGGTTAAACACTTGCCGTTTGCATGGCTAGAAAAACATAGATTGAGAAAAGCCTTGGCCCCTTTAAATTGATGTCTTACTAAGACAAAACTCACCTAGTAATGTATAAAACGTGTTGAGTCTTGACTTTAATTTAAATAGTCTTTCCTGTTTTTATTTCGAAATAAGAAGTTAGGGTTTTCCCGAAAAGGTGTGTCTTCCTGGAATTATTTTATTGTTTATGTGTCTCCAAAATAAAATTTTCCTCGAATTCGAAATAATATCTATTGTTATTTTGTTATATATATTTTTTTTAAAGTTGGTTGGGGCAGGGGGGGGGGAGTTAGTGTTTTTCTGAAAAGGTTTCTTCCTTGAATTATTTTGTTTCTTTCTCTCCAAAATATATTTTTCCTCGAAATAATATCTATTTTTATCTTTTGTTTAAAAAAAAAAACCTGCACTTTTGGTTAACATTCGACTTTAAATGATACCTGGTACATTAAAAAGGGTGTGGGCTAACAAAGTGTAAGTCTGTGAAATGAAAGCACTCTTACTCAAATAGTTGTAATTTTTAAGGAACAATGGAACTTATCAGCACCACATAATAATAATAGAGCAGTTTTTTTCCAAAATGTGCGTCCAGTGTTTCTGTCAGATAATGTCCTTGGCGTAGGGGGGGGGGGGGGGGGGGGGGGGAAGGGGTGGTAATTCAGATGTTCCGGTGGGGCAGTGTCAGGGGCGTATAAAGGGCAGCCTTCTTACCTTTTATGGAAGGGCTGCATATTCGGCCTTCTGCGGAGTTATCATCGGGGAAGTAAAATGATCTTAGCCTGTCAAGGGTGGCTCTACCCTAGCTACCCTAGTTACCCTAGCTACGCCATTGAATGGATAGGAGGGGTCTGGGGAGTTGTTTTTTTAAATACTTAATTCATAATCAAGGGGTGCAGTTTGGCGTTTATCTAAAAATCAGTTGTTTCTTTCATATTATTTGATCTAGGGAGGGGATATTTCAGGCGTGGAAAGAGGGTGGGGGAGTTATGGTATCTATCAGCGTGCAAATTAAGCATTTTGGAATACATAATCTGAAATCACTGCAGTTGTGGCGTACTCCAGGTAATTCTTTTGGCTCCAACTTAGTTTCAACCCCCCCCCCCACTGATCTGCTAGGGGAGGGGCCAAATAAGCAATCGAGAGAATGAAGAGGGGTCTGAGGAGAGGCATCAATGAAACCTTCCAAAGAAAATTTAAGAAGGTAATTCTTTTGGCTCCAACTTAGTTTCAACCCCCCCCCCCCACTGATCTGCTAGGGGAGGGGCCAAATAAGCAATCGAGAGAATGAAGAGGGGTCTGAGGAGAGGCATCAATGAAACCTTCCAAAGAAAATTTAAGATAAATTTAAAATGCAGTAATGCATTTTGGCACATACCTAAATTTAGATTTAAATCATTCTTGACTTAATCCAATATTAACAGAATATATGTGCCGCTTGACATTGTTGTGTCTGCACTTTATTTTTAAGCTATTTATTTCATTAAACTCCTTAATTAAATGAAGTTATTATTTTTTAAAATACTTCCATACACTAAGGTAGCCGTCTCAAAAAGCAGGTATGCTGGTTACCTTCCTAAAACATTTTTAGTAAATACAATTAACTACACACCGGGGTGATAGCCTCGGGCGGCCTTTTGCCGTATATACATAAGCTAACATTATATAAATGTTGTTTGTATGTGGAGGTACATTTTAGGGAGTTCGATCCAGGTGATAGTTAATCAAAGGATGAATTCGGAATAAACTCTTAGCTGGGCAGATTTCTTTACAAACTAAGCGTCAACCAGTGCATTTAACTCATGGTGTCCACCCCCTGACGTCCCCATAGACCTTCTCCCAGTCTGTTCTGTTGACACCCTAATCGGATAGCATCCTTCTCTTGTCTTTAACTACTGGGTTACGTTATGAAACTGACTCGGTTGAAATGATCAGACACCTAAGGAGTTTGACCAGCAGAAGTTTCCTTGGCTTTGTTCCTAGCATCCACAACGTGCTCCTATTTACTAATATTAATAATATAATTCACTTAATTATAGATTAAAGTTATCAAAGCAACAAATACTCAACATCATAGTAATTATTTTTTTATTAAAAAATAAAAAAAAAACGGTTTTCTTCAGCATTGTCGACTAGCCTACATTTTAATAGGAAATATATTTAAAAGTTTGATTTGATCTTTAAATCCAGCTTGAATATTAAATATTGAATAATATTGGCTGGGGACCCAAATTCAATTTTTACAACAGTTATTTTTAATCTGGATTTTTAGTTCAGTACCAAACAATTTAAATTTTGTAATGTCTTTAATGAAAGGTCCCAAAGTATTTGTGTAGGTTTGTGTAAATTTGGACTTGGAGATGATTCTTTCCTGATTAATACAAAGATTCGCTGTTACTGCAACAGAATTCTTTTTAAAAAAAGAAATAAAGTACCAGCACAAGTACCATTTAAATAAACTACAGTTCATTGCTTTGTAAATGGGGGGAGGGGGGGTGGTGCACAATATTAAAAGTATATCATAGTACCCCAAAAAATATGATTACCAGGTAGTCATTTCTGTATTGTCATTTTTTGAGTACTGAGAATTTCAAACACAACAGACTCATGAGCTTCTTATTGAAAAGTTGATTCTGAAGATCTATAATATCATTCACATTATCATTTCCAAAAGCTATGCCCTGAATATCTACTGTCGCTGCTTCATACATTCAAACAAGCTATCTTCTTTTAACATGTTTTCTTTCATGAACTCTTTGGTACCAGAAGGACCTGTTTTCAACTGCTGGGAGACATCTCTGAAATCTGTTCTTCCCTTTTTGGATGCATCTCAAAGTTGTTTGGATAAAACTTTAACCCTTTGCTGTCAATAGGTCAGGTAATCCTTTAAATCCCTCTCGAGTTAACTTGACCTAGAAAATGATTACATAGAAAATAGATTTATAATTGAACTGTTTAGACATGACCACTTGGTTATTGTAATCTTTTTCGGTTTCTTGCACTACCGGTCATTTCTGCGTAGTTTTTATGATTATCTTTGTATTTTTTAATTGCATTGGCTCCAATTTTATATTTTTCTTATGAGAGACAATCATAAATAGTTTATGGTGTACCTTTAATTCTCTCTCACAATGGGGTTGTTTTGAAACGAACACGTTATGTGCTAAATTTGATATTAACTAGTTATTAACTTTAAACATGCACTCATGCAATAGATTAGGGGTCTCCAAACTACGGCCAGCGGGCCACATGCGGCCCAAGAGGCCCTCTAATGCTGCCCGCGGAGACCTTTTTGTCTACGGAAAAAAATACGGAATTTAACGTGTGTCCTGCTAAGATAAGCCGTCGCTTTCGTGCACACTATGTTTTTACTGAATTTAAATAGAGGCGGGTTCATGTGTAGTGTATAAATGTGTTATTAAATAATAACTGAATAAAATATTATTGAATAAATAATTCAAAACAACATCCATGTTTTGATTCTTATTAATATGGACCTCGAGTGTGTAGTCGGCCCCCAAACTGCTGTTTCATCGTTAATGCGGCCCTCGAGCTGAAAAGTTTGGAGACCCCTGAACTAGATAAATGTATTTACATGCTCTTAACAGTGTGGGTGATTAATTAAATTTTGTAGATATAAGCCAATATCAAGTTCATATATTTACATGTTACTGAAAAAATATTGGAATTTCCTTGTACCGGTAACAACAATGTAAATTTGATACCTTAAAAATAAAATTTTCTCGGATTTAAAGTAGTGAAAGTTTATATTGAAGGTATGTATCATAAATATACAGCAGTGCTATATGTCCATGTCAAGATCGTAAAAAATGACAATAAACGTTTAGCTCACATAATATTTGTTTCAAAGCATGTCAGTGTTAACTACTGTAAATTTTTTCTATTTTTTAAAGCTTGTAAAACAACGAATTGATGATTCTATTCCAATGCATCACATCCTTTTCGCAAAAATAAACTTATTAATGATCAAATAGTTTTAATTATAATCACCTATAATCATCTATAAAAATTTGACCTGAGACAATAAAATATTTCGCTGATCATAGTGGGGTTTTTTTTTTGGGTATGATTATAACTCATATTGTAAAGTGCAATTACTCATATTGTAAAGTGCAATAACTCATATTGTAAAGTGCAATAACTCATATTGTAAAGTGCAATAACTCATATCGTAACATGCAATAATTTAAACCAAACTTTAAACTGATATATATAATCATCTCACCTTTTGATTGTCTGCGGCTAGGCAAACCATGATCTCATAAAGCTCTGCTCTCCTGATAATATGTATATGAGTCTTAATTCGCTGAGGAGATATGTGCTAATCATGTGGTCCACACAGCTAAAACGTTTCATTGACCAGGAACACATATGTCGCTATGTTTCACAATCACATCTTGTTCAACATCTTTAATGATGCTAAAGGCCGTTTTCAAATCAATATCAATGTTTTTGAAGAAAAGACATGATGTAGTCATCTGAAAAACATCTAGTTTTGTCAACTCATTTAGTTCACCTTTGTCTACAATAACAGCCATGCCAAGGATATATTAACAAAATTGTGCAAAACACCATATTTAATCCTAACCGCCTACCCTATTACAGCAATGACCCTAGCAACAATAACAAGGGTCCTTGGGCATACCCAAGAGAGTCACCCATTGTTGCTGGGCAAACCCAAGAGAGCTACCCATTGTTGCATCCATAGTTGCTTCTACAGCTACTGTGTTAGAAACACAACAAGAAATTATGTTGACTTTATCATATGCAGGTGTAACTCCAAAGTCTATAAGTACATTACCAAGCATCATCTGCATCATAATAATATCCATGACAAGGGTAGCAGCACATGCATTTAGGCAAAGTATTATGGCCTAGATAGTCACTCAAAGATGAGTAGACTTGACAGGATGTGTCAACTAAATATATTGAAGATGGTCTGATGCTTTTTCTGGTTCAGATTACAGGAAGGATTTTTTTAATTGGGTCTAATGGTTTGTCATAGGTAAATTTATTATCTTCTGTTAGTTTTTTTGATGGAAGATCATAACCACCATATGCGACCTTTTGTAGAAAATTAGTCCATTCTTCCTTGTCTACGATGTCCCATTCTCTATCCCCAAGTTGATTGAAAATAGTTTGTTGAAGTTCTTCTGCTTCAGTCCTCCAACAAACCTCATCTAAATCATCAAAAATTGTTTATTTGTTTGTTAACTGTTTATTTATCTTCTTAATTTAAAAAACCCACCACCAATGGGTAGAAGGCACAACCGGTGTAGAAGGTTGAGGGGCACCAACCCCTGGATCCAGGTCATCTACAACCATCCTCTTCAAACAGTCATCCCATGCTTCAATATCTTCTTTCTCTCTGAAATCACTCAAAGCTGTAGACATGTCATACGCATCTCCATCTTCATTGTTTTTGGAAACAGGAAAGTCTTTGTAATCGTCGAAAAGGAACTGAAGCCCCGATCGTTCTATCTTTGATGACCGTAGGCTACCCGGTGGAAAATTTGACACGATGTAACTGATACGACAGCCAATGGCTGGTAATGCTTGTTGGAGCAAAATTCCAAATTCTAATTTTTCTTCTTGTGTAAAATTGATCAGAGAAAGACCAGCTTTGTATATGGCAAAAAGGCAGTCTTCGGCATTGTTGATTAGTTTCTGGTACGCTGATCTTGAACTGAAATCTTTTGTTTCCAATCTTTTTAGTGCTTCTCTCACGCCTGTGACTAGCTTGGTTCTCTCAGCCATCCTAAAGATTTCAAAAATAAAATAGTTTTACTTTACTAGTGACATAACTATGTATACAACAAGCTTTAAGTTTAAAAAAAATAGAATGTAAAATTGTATCATAAGTTCACATTATTTAAATAAGATATTCAAAAAGTTGCTTTAAATGACATTTCAAAGTTTTATAGTTAAAATAAAATCATTTTAAGAATATTAGTATTATAAGTATTGTATTGAAATTTACTTTCATAACAAGAAATAAGATCCAATTTGTAAGGAAACAAGCTGTGTACAATTTTAAAATTGGTAATAAACAAATTTAGCCATTATTATATAGTGTATTTTATTAAGTGTTATTATTCTTAAAAACCAAACTATAAACAACCAAAAACACAAACAACTAGTGTTCCTTTTGGTTTTTAAAATTAAACATATTATGGTACCGGTACATAGAATTATTAAAGCAATCCAGGAATTCTGCAGGCTCATTCTATTCTTTATATGATGCCTTATTAGATATGTCTAATAAGTTAGGGATAATAAAGGAAATAAAATTAAAATTTGAAACTATAATTAATTTTGTAACACTTTTATACCATAGACCTATAAAGGCTATACACCAGACTCATCCAATTGAAGCTTTGAACTAAAAAAGAAAAGAAAGAATAAAAAATGACAGCGCAATTTGAATGTTATTACATAATTTTTATCATAGAAACTTTTAGTATTGTATTTAAGCTAAAATATGTAGAAGAAAGAATTGGTAGCCATTACTAAGTTTACTTGTTTAGTTTGCAACCATCAATCGGTTCAAACATGGTGTAACGCTTGTAATGAAAGGTCAAGGATGTTGTCATGATAAACACTCCATGAATCTAATTTAGAAAAGTAAAAGTTGAACAAGAGTGTCTGTGGACAAGTTCTAATTTTTTTTTATTATATTTTATATTATTTTACCGCTGTTACTCAGGTAATAATGGAAGGCACATTGTGCTACTTTCTACCTGCTATTGCAATGGCTAAACATCTAAAAATACAATTTTTATATGTATGTTACTGAATTGATGTACCGGTATTGTACTTGATACTATTTGTACCCTGAAAAAAGAAAAGAAGACTTTACCTCTCCCCCTTGAAATGTTTATTTCAAAAATAGTAACTCAGACTTTCCTTATTTTTAAAGAAGTATTTATCCTTTGGTATTTATGTTTCTAATTCTAGCATCATTGGGTTTGGATATTTTCTATACAATAGGCTATTATGATAGGGCCTACCCAAACATTTTCCATCTTCATGACCTACAAAGAAAACACATTTTCGATACATTGTAAAAATATATTTATTATTATAGTCCCAGTATGTTCTTTAATTTAAAAAAAATGTATGTACCAGTTTAAATATATGTAACATTGTATGTATGTATGTATGTATGTATGTATGTATGTATGGCATCTTTCCGTCTGCGGGAGACGATAGATTATCTTAATTGCTTGCAGCTCTTGGTGTGGCTGGTGAGACCAATCCTCGAATGGCAATCTCTGTTACATTTCCCACACATTAACCTAATTGATAAATAGGTATCTTCATTATTTTCATTAAAAATTTCCCAAACTTTTGCATCTCTCCTGATGTAAATGTTAAACTCAGAACGGTTATAACTAAATAAAGTAGAATCTCTGATACAATGTTAATGTATTAATGTTATTTAAAGAATATGGTTATTTTTTTTCAAATTGCAACCAATTTTCAAATCTGTGACTGTGACATAATCTGGGTTAAAGGTATTGATATTTTCCATAATTTAATAAATTGTAGCCTAAATTTTTTTCTAACAGCAAAAAAGAGTGAGAGGTTGGGTTTATGAAAAAAATATTTAAAACATTATTTTTCGGTTTATAAGTATAGATTAACGGATTTAAGGGAAGCGTTATTCACACAGCTCTGTGAATAACGTTAAGCGTTATCGGCAGAACGAAATCTGTGAATAACGGCGAGCGCTATCCACACAGCTCTGTGAATAATGTTTAGCGTTATCGGCAGACCGAAATCTGCGAATAATCATATAATGCATTAGAACTAGACTGGTGAAAAATTATTGTTGGGTGTAGGCTATTAATATTACTATTAGTATACTGAACCGTCACGAGTTATTATCTAATTTTTTTCACTATCAATTATAAAAAAGGGCAAATTTATTACTAATATTAGTATGGTAATATCTGTATACCGCTAGTATAATAGTAATAGCCTATTACTATACTAAATATTATGCAGTATAAAGTATATACACAATTGTAGTATAAGTAATATACTTAGTTACTTAGCTTAATCAGTATACGCATACATGGGCGCCCGCAGAAAACTTTC